AGCACAGCCATCGAACATCCCCTCTCACCGATGGGTTCCGTCGACCTAATTTCACTCACGAGGATTGGGCCAACACATGGTATGGTTTACAGGCACTTTCTAATGGTGCAGCACACTCGGATCGTCTCCTTCAGACCGATAACATCGTCCCCTTCCTGACAAATTTACCATGGTGAGATTCGAACCTGGATATCATGGTCAGAAAGCAAACTTTTTAACCTCTCATCCCATAAATACATACGTAAGTATATACATGCATTCATACATGCATAGAAACATCGTGGCAATTGATTCGTGACCAAGGAAGGCTAAAAACAAACTGATAAGACCAAACGAATATTTCAAGGACTATCTCCGTATCGTTACAATTAACAAATATTAGACGACGTGTGTAAAAACGAAGCGAATACCATCTACTGAAAACGACTAAAATAGAAAGCAAAACAACCTGTCCAAATGTAATTAAAAAAAAACTGCGGGGAGAAGGAATTGCCTGGCAAATACCTAAAATGAACGTAAGAAGCAGATCTCAGAAAACACATCAGTGGCTGATGAACACTTCGTTGAAAGCTGAGACAGTAAGTCTAATTATTGCAACGCTAGACCAAAGCCTCTCGACCAGATCCTATCATTCTCACATAATAATGGATGAAATTAACCCTAAATGCAGATATGCAGAAAATATCATGAAACTGTCGACCATATTATCTCAGGATGTCCGGAACTATTAAAAAATAAATATACCCACAGATATAAAAGATATGCCAGAAACATGGTATGAGTACCTACTAAACACACTTACCAAAATAACGATGTAACTATCCTCTGGGACATGCCAATTCGAACTGACAGGGGAAACAAAAGCCAATTGACCTAATATTATCATAAAAGACAAGAAATTCAGGAAGTTTATGTTTACTCACTTAACAGTGCCATATGAGAGAAACACATGCAAGAAAATTATCGATAAATTGTCCAATTACAAGAACCTGGAGATGTAGATTAACAGGATGTGGGGAATGAAGAGGGGGAATGAAGAGTGAGACGATACCAGTAGTAAAAGGAGCTCCAGGCGTTGTGAAAAAAGGAATTAAAAATTTTACTTAGTGTCCAAGGTAAGATCTGTATACAGAGTTGCCCAGAATATCATCATATTAGGAACATCCCATGTACTAAGAAAAGTGCTATTAATTAAATGACGATTCTCTTATTTGGACTAAGGACCATAGTTTGGACACGGCTTTAGAGAATACAAAGCAGGAAACATTCACAAATAATAATAATAATAATAATAAAACGGTGCCTCCTTATTGATATGGCAGTCCCTGCTGACTGCAATGTATCTTTGAAGATATTCAAAAAGTTGTCAAAGTACAAGGACCTTGAAATAGAAATCTCGAAAATGTGGCATATGGGAACATCAACAATCCCTGTTGTAGTTGGAGCCCTAGGACTGGTTGGAAAAGATTCCAGTAGACTAATTGAAGGGATTCCTGGAAGTCCATGCCTCAAGGAGATACAGAAAATTGTTCTGACAAGTACAGCCCACACCTTACGAAGGGCTTTATCTATGTAATTTTTTTTTTTTGTCAGTGGAAAGTGTCATGACGCCATTTCTAACCTTAGGTCCCTGGGCGGGACCCGGAAAGAAATGTGTAAACGCCAGAAATCAAAGAAAATAAAAATAATAATAATAATAATACTATTTAAATAAATAAATAATATATTTTTTTATAAATCTCTTATTGAAATTTCGGAGATTCTGGAATACATTCATCAGAAGATAAAATTATTTTTTATATCTTTCTATACATCTTATTTTTTATAAATTATATCAATTTATATTTTTCAATTTATACATAATAACTAAAATATTGAATGTTATTTGAAACGTTTTTACATCTTCCATATTAGACAGAACTTATTTAAAATTAAATCCAAATACTGCTGGTTTTAAATTTAACAATATAAAATATATTTGCGTCCTTAACAGATATCGATATCTACTTTCGAGGGAAATATTTCATTTCTTCTCCAATTAATTGAGAGTATTTTAATATCCTTTTAATTTGTTCTTGAGATTTATCGTTTCGCATTTTGTATGCATCTAATTTAGCAGATTTTAGTTGAATATCATTAATTGTTTAAGCATATAACTAAATCAGAATGTAAGCTTTTGAGAGCAATTCTTCTAGAGAGTTACCATGAATATATAAAAAAAAGGTTCTATGATAAGAGATTGCTATTTTTCCATACATCATTTGGTCAATGAAAGAAAGATGATGCTTCCAGGTATCAAATATGTCATTCACCCCGAACTATGTAAGAGCTTTGTAGTGAAATTTAGGATTTCTCGGTTTTCTTTGAATTGATTTTGATAATTTTCTCAGATGGTTTATACAATAGGGAAAAAACATTGTTAAGTTTTCATTATTCTTTATAACAACCTTTATTTTATTTTATATTTGATAGTTTCTGGATGAACCACGCTAATAGCGTTTCTTCTTTCTAAGAAAAATGGGCCGTGCAAAAGGCCTCCAAAATGAAAAAAATCCGTCATCAAAGTAAGTACTAAAGGCACAACTGTTCTTGTCATTTCGGATATTGTTACATTGTCATGCGGACACGGTCAGTAACTTCCTGAGGGACACTTCGCCAAAGAAAAAACGACCCAATTGAGGGACTTCCAGGACTGTGACAGCTACGGATTTAAGGAATATTAGCCGAAAGTTATGTGCGAAACGTCCACAAATTAGCAGAGCTATTTTTACCATCGCTGGACAACTACATGTATCGAAAACGACAAGAAATCCTATCCTCTGGACCACGGCTTCCGTGCAAGCTCCCTTGAAACTGCTTCCTTTAATGTCCCGTCATAGGAATTTTAAGCTTCAATGTGTTCGGAAGTAGGTTGTTTTCTTTTCGCTGACGTGTTTAGAGGTGCACTTGACGGGCGTGAAGGTTGAGCAAATGGTTAGGTCTATTTTAGAAGTGTGGGTCACCAACTATAACGCCGTCAATAACAGGTTGGAGGGGTCATGCCAGTATCATCGGGGACAGATTTGTTGACCTTGAACGCAGACACCTACTGAAATCTCCTGAAAGACGTCTTGGATCCCTAGCTAGATGACATAAATCTGTCACTTCTGAAGACTTTAGTATTCAGGTAGTAAAACGCTTCCTCCCACTCTGACAGAGCCACCGAAGTATTCCTAGTTTCTTACGGGATAAAATGTGAAAGGTTTGATGGTGTGACAACAGATCGCCGAATATAAACCCTATTGAAAATCCTTGGTCCAACATTAAAGAAGATGTTTATGCCGATGGACGTCAATTACATCGACAGACATCTATAGACAACACTCAAAGCTGTAGCAGAGACAGTCCAACCTGCTACTATAAAAAAAAACATTGATAGATTCCATGACTAATATGTTTTCTGGAGTTATCCATCGAAGTGGCGCACATGTGGCCAAATAATTCATTATGTCACTGAATCTTATAATATTATTATGAATTTATATTACATATATTCTTAATTTATGCTTAATATGTATCATTATCCTTCATTTTCCCCCCAAAATATCTAGGTGGGCTATATTTATTCAAAAGCTATTAGGTTGGTTGACCCAAATACTGACGAATATGAAATAAAAATAAATGACGCTAAACAAAATAATGAAAAATCTTTTGCCATATTGTGCAAACCAGCTGTGAAAAGTTTTATCAAAATCAATTGACAGAAATTCGAGAAATCCTAAATTTCGCTACCAAGCTATTAGCCTGGTTAGCGGTTCATATATCAACCTCCCTCATCCAAACTGGTTAAAAAAAAACTGTTGTTTATTTGCAGATTGTATTTATATTACATAGAATTCGTTAAAATACCAGTCTGAGTGGAGTTTCAGTATTTATTTTCTTTCAAATGTACACGGCAGATGTTCCACTTTTCGAACAGTTTGATTAGTTCTAGCGCCAAGGTTATTGAAAAATGAAAATTAGTTTACATATTCATCAATATAATCAGGAATTTGTGTCATATTTGTGAGCATGAATATTTTTCCACTGTGACTAGAAATCAAAATTGATGAGGACATATATTTTGTCATATCAAAAAATTGAAGAATGATGCTAAAGCAAAAAAGAAAAAGAATATTTGAAATAGAAGTGAAGAATTACAGGAACTTGTTAAAAATGACACAATAAATCAGAAATGCCAGGAAAAAAACAGAAAAATGTTAAGAAAAACATGCTGTTGGATAGTTTGGAGTTATTTATGTAAAAGGGTAAAAAGGTAAAGAATGTATTTTCGATAGAAAAGAAAAAATATGGTGGGGGACACTCTTCAAGAGATGAGAAAATATTCAACAATCAAAACAATGTAAGGGAAAAAAGGACGAAAAAGCAAACTTCATTGTAAATTTGATCAGTAAGAGACATCAAACTATATAGACAAAAATTATATCGAAAAATAGATAAGTTGACAGATATTAAGAAAGAAAGAAAGAAAGAAAGAAAGAAAGAAAGAAAGAAAGAAAAAAGATATAAGGTGAATACGTAAGAAAGAAAGAGAGAAAAGAAAGAAAGAAGGATTGTCAAATTGAAATATGAAAATAAATATATCAATGTAAAAAAAATAAAACAGAAGAAAATTTAAACAGCAATGAAAAAATGTATATAGCATAAAATGAATCCAAATATTATAAACATGAAGAGAAAATATTTGATTAGGAAATAAGTCAAAAGTGGCGCAAAACACTGAAAAATGGCATAATGCTTTAGCAAAAAAAAATGAATGAGAGCAGGATGAATGAATTAAAAGATAATTATTGAGAAGTTCAATGTGCAATAGAAGGAACAACGAATATAGAAAAGCCGTTAGAAAAAACAAGAAGACTTAAAATTTAATAAACAAAAAACACAAGAAGACAAGTAAAATTTCAATGAAAAAATAAGACAAAACGAATGATAATCTTGAAAGAAATAGAGAAACAGATAATCTAAAATAAAATGATTGAAAAAAAAAGAAAGAAAGAAAGGGAGGAAGAAAGAGACATAAGAATAATTAAAATCAAAGAGAGAAAGACGAAAAAGAAAGAAATAAATTTAAGTATGCAAGAAATATGAGGAAACGTATGTGAAAAACAGAAGAAAATGAAAGTAAGAAAAAAAGAACAAATGTAAAAGAATCTAACATAGACAGCGAAGAAATAAAACCAAAATTTAGAAAGTAACACATATTAAAATAAATGAAAACTTAAATTCAAAAAAAGAAGTATGAAAAGAAAGGAATAAACAACCATAGTTTAGGAAGAAATATAAAGAAAGCAGAATCAGAAAGAAAGCTAGATTGAATGAATGATAGAAAAAAAGAAAGAAACGAAAGAAAAAAAGAAAAGAAAGAAAGATAGATGATGAAAAAAAGTGAAGCGAGAGTTCTCAACAGAGAGATAGAATAATAAATCCTTGCGTATTTAGACCACCTGAGACATATCGAACTAAAAAAGATAACGGATGTGATTTGTTGGTATGAAATCTCTAGAGGAAATTGACGAGGTTCAGAGAAGGGAAAGAAGACAAGAAAAGAAAGTGAACTGAAAAGATGAATAAAAGATAATGCCGCATGTTGTGTACGCGTGCTTTTAGCAAAGGCAGGGCTAAATCTGCAATGACTTTACAAGAGTTAGACAGGAGAGCGGAGAAAGCAGTAAAACGGGAGATAAATCTATCTTGGTTTCGAAAGACGCGTAACTCGAAAGCGTGTGATAGTAAGGAGTGGGGGGTGAATTTAACAGTGCCAATACGACCCGGTCGGCCCCTAACAGCCATGATCACTGACCCCCTGTCCACCTCCTTCTGCATCGCTTCACCCACTTATGTTCACCAATGCCTCTTCGAACTTGACGTCTATCATTTCATTTATATCAATAGAGCGGTTAACGCAGTACGCGAAGGCTTGTGACTGAGTCACTGTACATGAGTGTTTACGATGAAAAGTGAGGAATCTTTGTTTGCATGGATTACGAACGTCAAATATGTGTGAAGTTGTGAGAACGTCGGTAGGTTTAGAGGCATAATTTAAGGATGATTTCTTTCGCTACGTTATGAGTATGTGAGTGGAAAAAGAAATATATATATATATATATATATGTGTGTGTGTGTGTGTGTCTGTGTGATTTCATATAAAGATTTATAAATTATGTATATAGGCACACACATGCATACATACACACATAATTATATATATTTTAAATATATATATATATATATAAATATAAATATATATATATATATATATATATATATATATATATATACGAACAGATGGAGACGAAAGGACTTGCGGTTTTATTAGGAGGTATGTACAGATGTCCTGAAAATACTCGACTATGAGATATAGCATATATATATATATATATATATATATATATATATATATATATATATATATGTGTCTGTGTGTGTGTATATATATATATATATATATATATATATATATATATATATATATATATATATATATATATAAAGTCCCATGTTATATAAATATAATAATATATTTTTCGATTTATACGTTATTTTTAGAGATATAATTTATTTAAAATAAATCCTCTGTTTTTTATTAAACTGTATTAATTACATTTTCCGGCCTAAATGTTTGGAAAGTTTCGCAGAATATATGCGCTCTCCGACAGGAATCGAACCTGTAACGATAATGGGAACGTCATCTGATATGGTCTGCTGTTAATCATTCAGACACAGAGAAGCGTCTGGTTATCATAGTCCAAATTACTGTAAGCAGAAATGATCGATCGACAAAAATCGTCGAGGTTGTAATTCGGACTTTGCTCATAAGAATTCTCTTCAGTTTCATGATCATGTACGTTCATATTGTGGGTTCAGATCACCCCTTACAATTTAATCATTTCCTTTGTTTTATGGTTTGTTCCTCTTCGTCCATTTTTCTCTCTACACAATAGATTTATTTTGTTTTCACTTGAAAGATGTCGATTGTGCTCCTCGTCTGTCAACTGAGTTCAACTCCGTTACTTCCTTCTCCGAAGCCGATCGGGTTTGTTAAAGAACAATAATTGGTTTCCCGCTCTCATTTTCCTGCACACTCGACACTACCTGGGGATTAGTTAATTTTCTCCTATGTTTCTTCGGCTTCCATATTGATGTCATTATGGCATCAATAACTACTTAGGTACCTAACATAGCAGACAAGTTCATTCTGGTCTCTGAATTATCTCTCCAAACTGTACACTCTTCTCTCATGGAACTTAATTTGTCACTCATTTGGTCAAAATTAATTCTCTCTACCTGCTTAAATAACCTTGGCATTGCTTTCAAGGTAATTTCCGGGAGTTTATCGGCCACTGATTCCCATAAATGTATCCAGTTATTCAGGCCTATTTCGATTAACTTTACCAATTAATTTTTTCCTCATATTTTTCTTCGGCATGATAATATGGGGGAAGGTAGAGAGATACTCCAAATGCTGAATATCCCAAGGGTAACTCTATTAAAGTCTAGCAACTTAAGGGACATTAAAACTAGCAATTTGCTATCTCCTTGCAAATTAGCACAACCTAATGTCCTGTGGTATTTCTGTAACTCTTGGGTGGGCTCTACGTGCAAATCCAAATGATAAAGCAACTCTGTTCATATTTTTACCAGCAACTCCTTCAAGTGTCCGAATAATAATATATCTAGCTGAGCTGTCACATGCTGTTAAAATCATCAGGGACTGGTTGCTTATTTACAATTGTTATTAACTTAAAATACCCCTTAACTCATAATTCAGCTGAGATGGTTCCGTAAATACTGGCCACTTGATTCTTGCATATTACTTATTAACCAATATATATTTTACGCCAATTCTAATCTTTTCACATACAGTTTATTTATTTTGCAAAAATAAGAAGTTTTCGTCCAATTCCGAAGCGAAAATGGGGAAAGCCTGGTCTTCATTAGCTGTTATAATCCTATTTAATCTGAATCACGACCATTTATGATCACAATTTACTCATTCACCACCAGAACTCCTCCATCACCTCTCAGTTCTGTATTTATCACAATACCGCACAGGGGATCTACAAAGCATTCCATTACATAAATTTTGATAAAATTGGAAATATCCGTAAAAATTCCATGAATCTTGAAATGATGTGGAGGGAGTGAACCCAGAAAACAAACTAAAAATGTAACAAAAGGGAAAATAAACATAATGGGAGGAGTAGAGCCTGTATACTCCTGAAATGAATAAGTGTGGCCACTCTATTCTAACGATAAAGAGAATGAAGAAGCACAATCGTTAATGAGTGGAAATGACAGGATTGGAAAATCAAAGGTTACTCAGCGGAAATGTAAAAATGCGTTGAAGGACAAAAAAAAAACTGATTTTCGAAATAACAGCATGACTCATATCAAACAAGGAAGCTAGGAACAGGCCTGGAGCAACGCTAATCCACATTTACTAAGAGAACATATTGTGTCTAACTTAACCATGGAAGGGTTCCATGGAAACCTTCCTGCTGCATTAAGTGGACTTAAAAGAGAAAATTATGGCTAGCCCGGTTCACGTGAACCATAGTCAACCACCTTTCTCAGAAACCGTCGATATCAAAAGCATTATATCAGATCTGATATTTATTCTGAGCCGATGCTTGAAGAATACAACTCGTTTTGCTAAAATTTTCTATTTCTTCTCCACTCCCTCTGTCTTTTCCCTTATGATCTTAACACATTCTTCGGACAATGTTCCGAACAGAACGCTTAAAGGCTTCCCAACATATGGGAACTACTGATCTTTTCCCGCTTATCAGTAACAATTTAATTCCCTTGAAATAATTTTTTCATATGCTTACACTGGGACTCAATTATGGAATCTTCCGGACTCAGAGGTTACATTAATCTGATGTACTCTCCTCTGGTATATATTTGCGCTACTTTTACTATGGCTGCACTCAGCTTAATCAGTTCACCTTCCAATTTATATAAAAGTAATTCGTATGGGTTCGAATCTATCACGAAAGTGACTAAGCATTTTGATCTTGCCATTGTCACTTCACTCGTTTTTCTGAAATTCGTAATTTCGCTATGCTTCGAGGGTCCTACCGCTACCATCATTACCAGTAGTATCAGTCTCATCGTCCCAGCCAACCCTGCAAGTGTAATAAGATGTTCTTGCTTTATTCTACCGACAATTTAGTTTGTGTATACCGACTTATTTATTTAGTATGTTACCATTATTTATTATCTTCTAATTTTTTTGTTTTGTTTTGTTTTTATTTCAACTTATTTGTGTGATTAATCAACTTCCAGAATTGGTTTCAAACACGTGTGCGGCGCTTTCGCCCAAAGTCCAGATCTCACTAATATCACCGTTGGACATACACGGGCCATTGTGCACAACATCCACAGCACTTCTAAGTAAGTGTTTCTGTCCATTATGATGTGCCCCTCATCACACCTCTGTCCTCACCACCCAAACAGCTTCTGACATATTTCTGGATAAGTTATTTTTTAATGACCCAATGTCGCCACGCACACAGGCGTTCACTTTCCCATAATGATATGTCACAGTGAATCCACCCTTCCCATTCTTCTCACTTATTTCCCCTTATTGGGATTCAGTTCGCCACCCACTCACATAATCTTTGCTTGATGGGTAAATTTGACTCAACCTCAAGGTTTTTCTTCTCCTTTCACTGTTTTCAGGGCCTGGGAGAGAAGTATTCCTCATCATCACAATCTATGATTGCTCTTCCATAACTTCTGGATCAGGGCTACGGTTATTGTTTTCCTCATTCTATAGCTACTCGCCTGGGGGCCTTCGTGTCCCTTCTGATCTCTCGGTACATAACTGACTACTCAGATTCCTTCTTTCTTCATTTTTATGAATGATTCCATTCCCTCTGGCTCTACGACGTTTACTTTACTTTCCTCATCATCATTCTTTTATTTTTCAGTTCTAGATACACTTATCCAGACACAACAACAAATACAAAAAGCCAACACAAAATTCGAAAGGCCTCACGCATCCACCAGAGAACTGGCATCTTTGTCAACTAACTGGGTAGAGGAAGAAATATTAAACTAAAGAAAGAGAGGACAGAAATAATAGGTGCCGATGAGCATACATACCTAGCTAAGATAGCTGTCTTAAAAACGGAGGACAAATCATACCTAAACTATCCTATTACGGGCAGGGTTGCCAATATTCCACAGAGAATTAACAATATTCTAATGTCAGATCCTTTCATTCGGCAGAGACGCGCAAGACTCACCTTCTACAACATTCTGGTGGCGGGAGTTGTCAAAGCCTTTCTGCGCATCAAAATAACCATATCTTCAATAAATTTGCACAACGGACCTACGGAACAAAGCTTCACGGAACAAAGACTCTTGCCAACCAAGTGGGCTCTTCACAACTCCAACGAGATGGGAGATGCCTCCTCGATAGTGAATTATTTTAACTCGGGTGCCCGGGCCATATGGTGAGAGTTTTCTGCTTCATTAAACCAGAGCTCGCCTGTCAGACAATCTTGAATGGACGCCTTAAAATGATATAATGAGTTACGGGACTACGCCGGGACTTTGAAGAGGAATTTCAGGGTAATACAACAGTCATGATAGAAGGAGCAATCACCTGGGTTTAGACGGGGGAGGTCCTCTTCTTCGCACGAGTACACAATTCCCAGTTATGGGAAATTCCTACGCGTGTTTTCCTCCCGGAATTAACCGTTCCAATCTGGTTACGATGTGAAGCTATAACTAGAGATCCTCTTGCACATTCAACTAATTCATTTCCAAAAGGAAAACCG